TTTGAAACCTAATTCACAATCTCCATTTACTGAGCAATTGATTGGAGGCGTTTTAATGTTCGTCCATGCCCTTCATTGACCATTGTCATTAATGACGCTTTTTTAGGCACTTATTACGGTGGTTTACTAATTTTTCCTATCACTTCTGATTGGCTTCACTAGTTATCCCATACAGAGTATCTATGTTATTATATGGTACTCCGATAGTGAAGTGGTGGGAAATTTGAACCTTATATGGAGATCTTGGTTTGTGAAACACAGTTTTGCTTTTACTGATTAGGCTATGTACGTACTACATCTGTAAGTAGTTAATTTTATTGTCGTTATCGCGAAAAAAGGTGATCGATCCACTGCATCACAAGTTGAAAGCGTCGTATTTTCTTTTGACTATAACCGAGCTGAGCTGCTCTGAACAGTGCAAACAAGGAGGGAAAATTCAAAATCGTTACTCATAAAAGAATATGCAAAATTTTCAATAGAGTATTAGAAAATAAACAGCTTTTCATAAATATAATCTAATTTGCTATTTTTTTTGGTTTACATCTTTTCTCATGAAATTGATAATCAATAACAAACGAAAACGTTCGTACATACGATTATAAACGGATGTGTTACATTATTCTTTTGTATTACATAAGATTACCTTTATTCATATTAATATTGTTTGTATTGTTTATTATGCCGATTTGTTTACATCCAGAAATTTATGATATCCAATTTTGGGTTATATACTTACAATCAACTGCCGTATGTATCAATGTTCTGTGTCGCAATTGAAACGATGAACGTTATTTCTCAATCGATGGAAAATTAACAAATATAAAATTATATGACCAAGCGATAATATCGTTATATTAAACTGAAAAAAAGCCACCAAATACAAATTCAGTGAAAAATTAAAAATATAAAATTATGACTAAGCGATAATATAGCCTTATTAAGAAAAAACTGTAAAAACAAATAAATAACTAAATTCGCATATTAGTCGGAGCGAAGCGGCGGACACACTCACTATTTCTACGTAAAGTGTGATCTGCAATGGTTTCTGTTAGGGTGTTCAGGATTATGCGATGCGATGCTATGCGCATTGATGTTCTATAAAATAGGGCAAACTCCGCAACTCCGCTATTAAAAATTAATGATTATTAATCATTAGCGCTTATTTCTTATATTGCCCACCTATTCTATAGAATATCCATGCGGATAATTGACCATTTTTTCGCATCGCATATGCTTCGCATAATTAAGCAAAAAAAAGTATTCAGATCATGTGGCTCAAATATGATTGGTAGATGAATTTTTTGGGATGCGATAGTTATTGATTTTTTACATTCATTATATAGAATGCACCAATATGATTATTGAAAGATCACATGTAATGTTTCGGTCGAAGCCTGAATTTCCGTAATTGCTCAAAATATTTAAACACGTCAAATCTGGCCAATAGTATTTGTCAGGGGTAGGGTTGGAAAAAAAATCAAAATTACATGTGAATAATTTGGGCCAAAACTTTTGTAAAGCTAACATAAAAATAAATATAAAATTAAAGTTCCGAACACAATGATGGATTTCTATTAACGCGGCAAAATTTTTGTAATGTTAGTGCAATTATCATGTGACAATGCACTATATATTTTAAAGTTACATTACAGTTCGTAAGTTATAATTTAATTTCATGTAATGAAAAATGTAATTTTGTGTAATACAACCCTAGTAAAGGGCATGCTTTATAAGTATTGTGTCAAGGTTGACAATGGACTACGCCATTATAGCTGTTTCGGCCGAATTCGATAAATTAAAAAAATTTGCCGACGATAATTTCGGCCGAATTCGATAAATTATTGATTTCGATGTTCTTCGGTGGTACATACATGATATGCGTCGTGTTGACATATCCTATCAAAAATCAGTGCACACACGTACGTACGTTGTGAGGGCAAAAAGTCGTCCAGGGTCGATGTCGAAGTGGCTTGAGTCGATTTGACCAAATCAAATAAAAGCTACAGTTATGGGCTATGGCAGTTATGGCTAAAGATGACAATTCGAAGATTTTTTGAATCAACTGTGCAGCCCGGACAGGCCCGCATTATGGTACTTTCTGCTAATGCGAACCGGAATTTTCAAATTCTGAAATATTCCGAACTTTCAAAATGTTCCGCATGCACAGCGGCCAATCTCTAGTTATGCCAGCTATGACAGTTTTGACAGTAATGGTATATAGAGTAGAAATGGTAGAAGTGTTAGTAAAAGTTATGTAACAAAAAAAAATGTATAAAAAGACTCGATGTTTCGTCAAAACAGAGTAGTTCAACTTACCTTTGAGTTCGAATACGAATGAATAGTAATAGTTGCCCCTTTTGAGTATTCTTTGGTTGTAATGTTATCATACTTCGTATACATATCGTCTTGTCCCCGTGATCGTAAAACGCCCTATTCTCGGACCAAATCCTCAATCGAAGTCTACCAATTAGGGTGTAGAGGAAGGATTTTATTATATTTTGTGGGGGGGGTTTTTTTTGATAGATTTTTGTTTAGTAGCGACCTTTGTTAGACTAGTTTTTGGTGTTATACCATTTTTCACCGTCACAACGTACGTACAACTTTCGTGCTTCAAATTTGCATCTGTTCGAAGCTGCACTGACTGAAATTAGCCTATTAGATCATCCTGCATGCATTAGTTATCATGTTTAACTTCAAGCGCTTTGAAGTTACAATTTAAGCAAATGCTAACTTCGAACACAATAACTACTACGGATTTAGGCACGTAATTCAATCACTGTACGAAATTAATTGTCTAAAAATTTTTGAACACACAATCATACGTACAGAAAATTTTTAACACGCAATCATTCGTACAATATAAAGGGAAAGTATATGGAAGCGTGTTAAAAAAAAATACATCGCTATACGTAAAAGTATACTAGAAAACACGAAAAATTATACATCAATACGTGTAGCATTGCGTGATTTAGACATGCTGTTCAGTGCATTGCTCAGTATATGTTTGTGTGCATTTTGGTTTTGTCGCACTCAAAATTCCGTGCATATGTGTACTGATTTCTTATAAGCCCGAAGAACTTCGGAATCAATAATATCATCGGCAAATTTTTTTTATGTGTCCCAGAATTTATGAAGACTGCCATAAAGATAGATTATTAATAGACCCTTAATAATCCAATACTAATCTATTGGCCCACTTGTCCGTTGGTTCATACTAGGAAAACGGGATTCGTTGAGTTCCGAGCGCGAAAAGCACTATATATACAATACTATATTGTAAAACGGTCCATCTCCAATTATACCATCAGTGAGTGTGAAATTGAAGAAATTAAATAGTTACTGCTTAGTTACAAAAGACGATAGTCAATTAATTTAAAGAATGATATGTCATATACTGCGACAAGGTGAAAACCCCGCGCTGTGAATTAGTAAAATCCGTAGATCACATGAGGGTGAAATTCACTTTTGCATAATAAAAAACATAGCTAAACGCGGATTTCACCCTAACGTGATATGCGTAGCAGATTTTACTAATTTACAACGCTGGTTTCACCCAGTCCGATAAGTTATGGTTATTATTCCAGGAGGGACCGTCCAAATAAGGAAATGATTCCGGTATTGTTACACAAGTGTAAAAAAAATTTTTTTATACGTTTTACAATACTTTTTCGTGAGACCATCATGGCACACTGTGCAATGAAAAGTATAGAAGTGTATTAAGCAAACTTGTAGCTTTAGTGCTGTACTTTAACAATATCAAGTGAATCATTTTGAATCATGCCGCCTTTATATTGTAATTTACCTAGTAAAAAATGTCTGGATCTAAGTCTTGTATAGAATGCGGAACCACTGGGCCGTCTACATTTCGCTCATTAAAAGATAATAAATGGAAGGAAGCTGAAGATAAAGGCTTGATAAAGGTAATGTGGGAATATAAGGGCTTCTTATGTCATAAGTGTTATATAAATTTTGTAGAAAATCTGTTAAAAAGAAGCGCCAAATGAGCAAGAATTATTACGGAAGAAATCGACACTACAATTAGAAGAGAGGTAAAAGCAATGGAACAAGTGGTTGAGGAAGAAATGGACGAGGAAGAAATAAAAGAGGAAGAGACAGAAGATACAGATGGTGATGAGGGGGGTATGATTAATTTTGTCAAAGCCATTAAAGCAATGGCAAAATTCTTCTATGAGAGAGAATGTTTGAGAAATAAACGTCTCATATATGCATTTGACGAAATGTGAGAAGTACTTTCAAAGGTCGATCCAAGCTTGAAAGACTTTCTCAATCAACTTTATCTAGCAGCTTGGCCGTCTAAATGTAATAAGCTAACTATGGAGCATATGAAAAAATTAATGATGATCATATGTTATCTTCTTTCATCGTTAAATAATACGAAGATTAATTTTTTTTAAGTTTGATATAGCATGTTATTTAGATTCTGTAGGTACAAGTAACGAAGGTCTGAATACGATGGCTAATCTAGGTATATCTATAACGTCAAGAGCACTAGATCGTAAGAAGAAAAAAATTTCAGATGCACATGAAGAATATGTAAAGAGGGTTCTCAAAAAATATTCAAAAAGAGCTCTTGTACTGAATATGATGATTACCACAATATTCATGTTCAACGGCAGCCCAACACTATGAGTACATCTTGTGCAGCACATATGGCAACGATCATTACAAATCCATATCCTATACCAGCAATACCACGTGGTGGAGTGCTCAATCCAGAAATTATTGATGATAAGTTGATTATTAGGCATCTTAACGAACGATTTATCGTAAATCTTGGGCATTCTTATAATGATCATAGACGAAATTACGTGGATAAATGTTCCGATGATAAACTCATAGAAAGATTAATGTTGCACAGCTATAACAACAGGTTGGAGGAAAAAAAAAGTCAAAGGCATATTAAAAATGCAATTCTCTTTGATTTTACAGAAAGCAAATTGAAAGGTGTTGAAGATTATACGAAGGCTCTTCAAATCGTACATGATCAGAAATTGATGCAAGAATATTTTCTGATCACGCGATTCCAATTGTTGCAGATTGGCCGGGACAGTTCTTTATCCGCAAAGCCATCGTACATCGGGTTCTTCTTAATAATGAAAATATCCCTCCATTCGTTACGGCGGTTTTGCCTATGATAGGACCTCTTCACATTTCATTAAATAGTCGTGAGCTTGTTTTTATAAAAAACTCATTTCTATTTAATGATGTTTACAAAGAGTTATTCAGAGAAAAAAAGGATCTTGGTAAGGAGCCACGGCCATAGTGAATCGATTTGATGCTTCATATCATGCGCATGGCGTGGCTTAATATTTCTAATATTGTTTACTCAAAGTTCGGTCGTACATGCAAAAATATTGAATTTTTATATGTAACCGATCTTTTGAGTAATCT